TTGCCCATTCAATTGAAGTCAAGTTTTTAGATTATTGGTCAAGTCAGGAGATCAATCAGGTGAACTGTCCTGACATCTGTAGTAGCAAAAATTTTTTGTTACAGCATCAAACGATTTGTTCTTACAAGCATGAATGAGATATGCAAAAATATATGCTTCAATAATCGCAAATTGAGACATAAGCGACTTGTCTCCTGGGATGAAACTAGACAAAGAATTATCCTTGCCCAGAGATTAACCAGGCGTTTTATCTCGCCTTAATAGATTAGAAATTATCTGCAAATGTACAGATATTCCTTGCCCAAATTATAAGGCTACAATAATCCTATAAAAGATCATTTATATATCTATGGATTTAAAAACTCACCTAATATGACGTTGACGGATCAAAACTCTGGCATGATGGATTGACTTAGCAAGACCCAATTTAAATACTTGAGTTTGAAGACGTCTTTCCAAGAAATCTTCAATTTTCAAGCCAAGAACGTAATCGAGTTTCATATGTCCTTCATCCAACACACCGATTCTCACTAAACGACGCAATAATGCATTACCTAAAAACAATTGAGATTTGTTAGAAAGAAATAATACGTTAACATTTATCATACATGTTATTTAGTTTCCTAATTTTTCAGAACTTAATACATTCCTCAAAATTGTTAGGTCAAGAGGTGTCAGAAAATAAAGAATGAATTCATCATATAATCTTGAAATACTCTACACGGTTCTTTTATAAAAATACTTTAATATTAAATACTTAAATATTAATTTTTAAAAACTTTATATAACCTAAAACTTTATATTAACCTACAAATTTAATAAAACGTGTTAGTGTATATATACCTTCGAAAAGACGTTTTGGATCTTTTTCTTCGAGCGTAAGAAGTTCTCGAGCAGCTTTACGAATTTTGGCCAACGTATACTTGACTCTCCATACTTCACGTTTATTACGAAGACCATATTCACCGATGATTCGCAACTCCTGATCTAAACGTGCCTTCTCATAAGGCCGCCTGGGAGTTACATAGGTCTTTGAAAAGACCGAAGGAATTCGTCCGTTTACCATATTGAAAGATCGTTACCTAATGCAAGAAAAAAAACCGAATACTTTCAAAAACCACGTGATAATTCAAACGAGAATATATTGGAAAAAAAAACGTGTAGCAATAAAGATGGCGACCACGTTGTAGACAAATTCTTCGAGAATAAAATTAAAGATAAATATATAATTTCTTACAAAATAATATTAATTTTTAAAATAGAAGTCAATAAATAAACATTGATAGTAATTATAGAACATTTAGCAATAAAATAATTATTAAAATTATCTTACCTCAGAACCGGCTTGAAGTAACGACCTAACTGTAGCGAAACAACGATGAAAATGGCCGAGTTCATTAAAACCGGAAATCATTTTCCAAGCGTAAAGATGGCGTGAATGTTAGCCAATCGCAAACGACTTGAAACTACTGCAGTACCTCCTAACGGTCATTTTTATAAGTCCTGAAAATAAATGGAAAAATATATATTTTACAATTTAATTATGATCTATAAGATATTAAAAGTACATATACATTTTAATATCGTATATATATATATATATATATATATATGTAATTTAAATATTATATTTAATAATATTACATTTAATAATATTTAAATTACGTAAATAAATAAATCGAATTGCGAAAATTAATTTCATAATTATCAGAGGCTCATGTTATCTAATATTAACTGTATTTTTTTTTTCTTCTTGATTATTGTACTCTATTTCTTTGAAAAAAATATGTCAAGATCCTGTTTCATGATAATTCTAATCAATGTCATTGATGTTAATTAAAAATATTCATATTATCATAAACGGTTGCATAATTTTTAAGTAACGAAATAATTCAATATTAATTATTTCTACGTTAATTTTTATTTTTATTATTTATTATATTCTTTTTAATAGACAACAAAAATATTTTTAATATTATCTAATACTTTTTGCAAATGATTTATTGATTGATAAATCCTAATAATGAATGCTTTACACACAAATATATCGTACATGCATCTTATTATTTTTCCTCTCGATGCAAAATATAATTTTATTGTCTATCATTTATATTATTATACGTAAAAACATGAACAAATGCAATGACTAATAAAAAACTTATGATAACCAGGTCATAAGTATAAATAATAAATAATATGATGTAAAATAATCAAGTTTCGACTATAGTAGTAGAAAAAGAAAATGGTATGTTGTACATCTCTTTTTAATATACAACCAGTGTAATAAAACGCGTGAAACTTATTAAAAATGCATTTGAATGAAGAAATATTTCGCGACATACTTCGGATAAATAAAAAACATGGAAGATTAAAGTAAAAGACAGTAAAACAATTCCTCAATAATAATACATCATAAATATCCAGTAAACAAAAGTATGATATTAAAAACATAAAGATAACCTAATCTATATTCTTTAAAGAATTTGGTATTTATTTATTCTTTCTTATCGGTATGATACGTGTGACATTTGTTTAATTTACTTTGTTCCTATGTTATCAATTTATCAAGTTTAACATATACGTGCAAGTTCTTTCTTATTCTTTTATAAATCGTTATTATAAATCGTTAGGAAATCACGATTTATAATAACAAAACTTTTGAAACATTCTGTGAAAATTATATTTTTCTCATGGAAAAAAAAAGAAAAAATCATATCAGTGCTATAACTTGTGTTCGTGTACGTAATAATATTTTGTTGTTCAGATTATAATTTTTAATGTCTATATGATATATAAAAGACTATTACAAAATCTTATTTCTGAGTATAATAACATATCTAATGAGACCAAGTAAAATTGTTTCAAAATTAAGGTTACATGAATACTCTTAGTCATTCCTATACATAAAAAATTAACAGACTTTAAACTCAACAATGTATAATGAACTTCCTATATTACGTATATTACTAAGTCACGTTTAAATCACGTTTCTCTCGACCATTTTTTAATATTTTTATATGACAGTATTCTGATATGCAGGGTCATTCAATTGACCTGGAGAACGAAGAAACTGAGATAAGCAAGGAAGTAAGTATTCGTCACGCTTTAAATGACTTCAGTATCTTTAGTGGCACGAGACAGTTAAGAAAGGTTTTATTTTATTGATTTGCTGCATCAATAAGAGCTAGACTACAGTGATTCTTAATTTATATTTCACAAGCTTCCAATCAATTACAAAATATAAAAATGGAGGCTATAGGAGCCGTAAGTATTATTATTTTTAAATTAATTGATATTTCTTTTTTTTTTTATAATAATACAAAAGGCACACAAGATCTTACGATCGTATATCTTTTATATTCAAATTTGCAATTGAAAATTATTTTGCTTTTTAACATATATTACTTTTTAATATATTTTACTTATAATATTATTGTTTATATTTCATTTGAAATTTATATAAAACATCTATGTCGATATTCATGAAATATAATATATAAAATTGTATCCAATGTATAAGTAAATTTTCATAAATAAAATATATTATGTATTCTTTTGCGTTAAAAAAATAATTTATTTATTACTTATTGAACATATTATTCAAATTAATATTCCAAGAATAGTTTTATATTTAAAAGTATTTGTACAGTCTATAATCGTCCTGGTTACGTCGAAATTGAATATCACAAAATGTATGTATTCCTTGATCATTTTCCAAACAGTGATAAGTTAATTTCAAAATAATGAATCTAATACCAAAATAATAACTAACACTCATTACTGTATCATCCAAATATTATGAATAATAGAGTATGGAATAATTTTATCATCTTATTCATAAACCTGATAAATGATTCTTATTATAAAATATAGCATAGTTATCAATTATTTATATATAAAAATAAGTTCACGAACAATATATGTTTATCTTCGCAAAGAGATAATTGTATTGACCTTTGAATGATATTAGTATTCACGTGAGGAAACTCGTGCGAGATATCATGTATAAAGACATAAATTTAAGAGATAATCAATAGTTGGAATTATTTGTAATTTGGTATTATATTACACAATGAACTTGATTAATTCATTTTAGAATTGATATAAGTGTTTACACATTAATTGGCTTGTGATTATTCCAAGGAAAAAAAAAAAAAAAAAAAAAAAAAAAAAAAAAAAAAAAAAAAAAAAATAAAATAAAATAAAATAAAATAAAAAAAAAATAAAATAAAAAATATATTTTTACAGTATCCCATATTAAAATCTTTTCTTGCTGGCTCATTTTCTGGTACTTTTTCGACAATTCTATTTCAACCATTGGATTTAATTAAAACTAGATTACAAAGCAGAGTTACTACTCATGTTGAGTAAGTAATCAAACAAGATTATTAATAAAATTAATCTACTTGATATATTAGATATAAATGTATCACGCATAACTATTTACAGACCAACAAGAAATGGGATGCTAACAACAATTGTACATATAATAAAAAAAGAAAATGTATTTGGATTATGGCGGGGTATGACACCAGTAAGTAGTACAATGCAAAGTATATCTAATATGTAAAATGAATATGTTAATTGCATAGAATAAAGGAATATTAATAAAATTATTTTTTTTTTTAGTCTATAACAAGGGTCATCCCTGGTGTTGGACTCTACTTTTCCTCTTTGGATTGGTTAAAACATACATTACAGCTAGAAGAACCATTGACACCTCTACAAGCTATATCGTTAGGTATTACAGCTCGATCTATGTCTGGTGGTTTATTAATTCCAATTACCGTTGTTAAAACACGATTTGAGGTACAAATGCATTAAATAACATTCCAATAGGATGCATTTATATATATTGTTTTACAAAATACTCTATATTATTTAATTATAATATTTTTATAGAGCGGCGTTTACAAATACAATAGCGTTGCAGAAGCTTTGAGGCTCATATATAGGCAAGAAGGTATTAAAGGTCTGTCAAGTGGCCTAGTACCAACATTACTTCGCGATGCACCATACAGTGGTCTTTATCTGTTATTTTATACACAATTAAAACAAATAGCTGCTCATACAGGTACCCTACGGTGAAGATAAATTTATTAAAAGTAATTTTCTTAAATGCTAATATGCACTCTTCATTTCTTTAGAGCTCATTCATCAAAATACCTCTGTACCAGTACACTTCAGCTGTGGGGTTTTAGCAGGAATTTTTGCTGCTATTGTAACGCATCCACCAGATGTTATTAAAACGAAGATGCAACTTTATCCAAATGAATTTAAAACTATTTACAGTGCCACTTATATTGTGTATAAAAAGTACGGAATTTTAGGATATTTTAAAGGAATTGTTCCTAGAATGTTAAGAAGAACACTAATGACTACTATGGCTTGGACTGTTTATGAACAGGTATATTTACACTAGGTCAAATTTTTAGTATCATTTGATTATGTATATAATTAAATCCACCCATCAATTTTACAGATTACACGAAGCATTGGGTTAAAATAAAATTTAATAAATTATGCTGATTGGTATAAATAGAAAATTTTAACCACATGAGAACAATTATTTATATACAGTATTAGAATGAAGCAACGTATTGCTCATTGTATTACCAATATATGTATTTATTTAATAAATTATATATTTTTATAGATTACCTAGTTAAATATATATTTTTATGTTACAAGTGTACAAGATAATACCAGTCATTTAATGGTTTTTTAGACTAATCTTTATCTGCATTTTGTGATTATTTTTTTATGTTCTTTCTCAGGTTCATTTTATTAATTTCAAATAACAATATTACGAGTATTACAACGTAACCTATGGACATTTTACCTTGTTTGGTTGGTATGTATAGTAATGTAACAATTACTTTTAGATGTAAATAAAATTGCAATAAAATAACATTCACGCATTATTTAAAGGCCGATTTTCAGGAATCATTAATGATTCGTTAAAATGACGTAAAGTACTTTAAATAAATTCATCCATATTTATATAAAATTCATGACTTTTCAATGTGAAGATTATGCAAAATCTTTACCTTAATAATACATAAAGCAGAGTGCACGTGGATCTGTCGGACTGGTTATTCCCATTGCCCTGTCTTCGCTCTGAAAATAGAGAATCCATGTTTTAAAAGTTAAGATTTAACAAATATTATTTTCATACGAATCGCAATTACTTTCAAACGCTTAACATAATTCCCTTATTGTAGCTGTTGTTAACCTCATTATGTTAAATTCTTAAACAGAAATAATATTATACTTCAATTATATGCATGAGTAAGCAATTAATATAATTCAAAATATCATTATGATAGCAGCTTTAAAATTATAAGAACTTATGTTTCCTCCATTATATGATTTATAAGTATCATTGAAAAATATAAAAAAAAAAAAATAAAATTAATTAATTTTCTAAAAAAATATTTAGTTCATCTTTTCATAGATCTAAAATCCATTATTTCTATCTCTATATGTTATTAAATACTAATTATATTATGTAATATTATATAATATTACATAATATAATTATGTAATATTATAATATTTGTAATAAAGTTATAAAATTTCTGTGCTGCAATACAAAATGATAATATTGAAGTTGAAGTTTATTAGAGTAAACTTTTATATTTCTGTAAGTAAATATTTAAAAAGCAGATTATAATAATAATAAAGAAACATTTATATCATTAATGAATTGTGTAAATGTAAGACATATGTAAAATATGTATCTTCTCTATCAAAGCTGAAACGAAGGACATGGCAAACTGAATAATATGAGACTATATATAAATGAGGGAAGTCCTAGGAGCAGCTCAATTTATGATCCATATGGCCTCTGTTGTGATCCTTTTGATCGATGTAGGATAATGCTAAAGAATAATCATTTCACCCATTTATAAAAATTATAATTTTACCCGCACCCTAACCATTAAGAACTAAAAGTGTAAATAAAGTGACACGTGCAAGGAGGGAAGAAAATATTTCATATGATACACATTTCTTATAAATTGTAAAAAGGGGAGTAGTAAGAAATTCCTTATCAAATAGAGGAAATGTTTAAATAATCAATTTGATACTGGTATAATATTTATGATGACAATTGAATCAATTTCATATTTTTAACTCACTGGCTATAGAAATAACAGGAAAGTTACTCTGAACATTTAAGTTCGAAGTTTGAAAATACTACAATTGATCTATCCAATTTCTGTTCTCATAGGTATCATTAATATGTCCCTAAACGAAAAACTCTCAGATAAATTATCATTGAAAGTCATCTTGACAATGCTCCAATCAACTGCAATTAGGAAGTAAGGAAAGTAATAGCAGGAGGACTTTGTTATCATTTCCTTTAAGCACTAGCACTGAAGTATCACTCCAAAAATAAACATCATCAATTTCAAAAAAGTCTAACTTTCCTAAGAAAAGGACATGTTTGGTATTATCATTCCGATATAAATACCTCAGAAATGCGTAGCAGAAGCTAGGTTTGTATAGTCACAGTCACACAGGGCACTGTCGTTGCAGGTCTACGGAAGTAGGCACTGTTTCCTCCACTAAACCACTAATTTCTTTTCGACAAAAAAGCTATGCAGTCGTTGATATTACATAATGATTTACTGTATTTAACCTATGAAGACATTATACCGATCAAAGCAAGCATAGGTATACCTTCTCCTATCTTGCTCTGTAGACAATATCTATAGTACTACATGATAAATATACCTTTCTTTTGTGAACGACTTTACTACTCCTTGCTCGACATTACCTCGATGCAGCTTTTTCAAGCTATATGTTACATAGAATGAGCTCGTCACATTGAAAATAAAATGCTGTACAATCAGGTCCATATGAAATTTAGTAAGAGCATTTCTCCAATTAATAGGCAGGATCAAAGACTGGTACGTTGTGACTGTATGCGATTCTTCAAAATCACAGATAATTATCATGTACATATTATGTGCATCTAATGAAACTCACCTGGTAAAGAACCTGTACAGTAAATGAGACGAATATATCGTTAATTGTTTAGTGCATACCTGGCTTAGTTCTCACTCACTAACCAATCAAGAGTAGTTACTTGTGACTTCGACTTCGAGATCGATGGCGACGACGATTATGGTGACTGGAACTTCGATGATCTCGATTTCCTATAAACGATTATAAACACATGTATATACGTCATTACGGATAAGTTCATTTCTCAAAGTGAATTTCGTCAAATCGATTAACTTTTTGTACCTTTATCGCGAGAATGACGTCGATGATTATCGTCATCACGATGTCGATCATGCTTCTCTCTAGATCTGCTTCTACTTCTATGTCCAGAATTCCTGTAAAACAAATTTTATTAAGAATTTAATAATTGCATTATTTCTTTTTTTTTTTTTCACGTTATAATTATCTAAATATTAACCTATGACTTCCTGAGTCATGTCTACCCTTGTCGTCGTCTGTACGTCTACGACGTTTATCCCTTTCTCTATCTCGATCTCGATCTCTATCACTTTCTCTTCTTCGTCTATCAAGTTCTTCATTAGCACGTGCTCTCTGTTTTCTCTCCTCTTCTCTTTTCTGCTCTTTTTCATCCCTTGCTTTTTCACGTTTATTCTATACAAAAGCAAATTATTTACGTTTATAAAGAAAAAAGAAAACAGAAAAGTTAGCTATCGACATTAATCATTATAAAAGTTAGCTGATTTTGATTGTACCATAATTTCTTGAAGAGCACTTTTTAATCTTGCATAACCCACATGTTGTTTACCCATCAAATGGTCATCAATTCGTTGTTGAGCATCTCCAACAATAAGAAAAGCACCACACACATCACATACCTCCATTTGTTTTTCTTGAGCCGCAGCTAATTCAGCAGTCTTAATGGAAAATTAAATATTTAATAAAATATTTGAAATAATGTTTATAAACAAAAGAATAACCCTATTAAAAACTTACTTGATTATAATGGCTATTATCGTTAGACTTTCTAAGAGTTTCCCGTTCTTCTTTTAATTGATCACAAAGTCTCATTAGGCCTTGAGCTTGTTCTACATTTCCTTGAATTCCACTTTGTTCTGCCTCTTCTACTAATTTGTTTATTTTTTCCGTTAGCAAAGCTATTTGTTCTTCATTTCTTTGAGTCTGTGCAGGAGTTAGAGTAGGCTGAAGAAAGAATATAACAAAATTAAAAATCTTAATGATTTGTATTACTTTCAATAAAAAAATCTAAATAATAAATACCGCTTCAGTTCTTCCAATAAGAGCAAGACGTTGTTTGCCTTTGACAATTTTTCTTTCAACCTCATTCAACATACTTTGACAGAATCTAATAAATTCATCTTCGTATTGCTGTTTACGATATGAGTATGGCGCTTTCTCAAAAAGTTCTCTCGCCTCATCGTCGTGAACTCGAGAACAAGCCCCAAGGTCAGCTCTCGTATTCACAAATAAATCATGAGGACAGAATTTTACCAAATATAATTTGCAAAACTGTAAAGAAATAAAACTTAGCTATTATCAAATAACGTAGAAATTAATCATTAAAATGATATTAAAAGCATCGATCGTTAATCAAATGACGTGTTCGTTGGAAGAAACGAAAGAACAATTTTATTAACGTGATCATACCTCAGGATCCTCCCAATTAAGTTCTTTTGGTTTTTCATTGGGAAGAACATTTCTATTTCTCCCCATAAGCTCGTCAAGTAAAGCAGCAGCAGCGGCAGCAGCCATATTTCAAAAAAATGACCTAACTCCGAACGTTAGACGAAAACTCAAAACGTCGAATAATTTCGTCCAAATGACATTAATCGCTACAAACGAAACGTTATATTTCTCGAAAAACTCGAACAAAACGAAAGGCGAACGATAAAATAATTGAATATTAACGACGTTTAGAAAAATTACACGTAGTAATATATAAACGGACAGCTCAGAAAAGTGATAAGACTCAGTAATATTACAAACACTTTTACACTATAGATGACACTAGCGTTGTAAACAGATATGTTAGTTCAGTCATGCGACCGCGCTGTGGCGCTGTACATCAAAGAGAACTATATTTTGTGGCAATTCGGTCACGTGATGTTGTGGCGCTGTAATCGCGAAAACTAAAGAGATCTATATTTTCTAAGTCGCTTAGACCATCTAGTTAATGAAAGTCTATTAGTCGATATGATAGAGATTATATAGAAAAATAAAATGATTTTTGTTTATTATAAATTTTGGAAATTTTCATTAATCATAATCGTTCTGAGTCTTCTTATTTACCTACAGAATATAATCTGTATAAACGATTTGTACAGATAAAATTAAACCAACCACCATACAGACAACATCGATAGCATGTGTGATTTTTTATCGTGTCACTTGAGGGCATTGAAGGTATCTTAAATTTAAAGTTATTGTAATTGGTCAGCTAAGTCAGTAAAAAAGATCAATCGATAGATTTTTTTTATTTTCTGGTTTTTTTTTTCTTATATAGATATATTCTGAACAAAATTTCAATAAATTTAAATAATTAAAATATATAATATATAATATATAATATATAATATTCAATAATATTATAAGACTTTTTTCTGAAAAACAAATAGTATTATTAAACAATGATGGTTGGTAATTACATAGAAATTATACAAATCATTTAATACATATATAGTTCTATCAATCCAATAATTATAATGTACTAATTCGAAAACCAGTAAAAATGCAATAACATATTGCAAAGAGTTAAAATTAATTTGATTCGAATTAACGAAGTTTGTTTTTACGATATAAAAAAAAAAACATAATTCGAAAAAATATTCTAGTAGAATTTTTAATTAGATGTTTTAATACGTAAATTAAAAATTATTTCTCATTAAAACAACTGAATCGTTAAAATTGTACGATCAAATTGAAAGATCACTTTTCGAACCATATATATATATATGGCAGAATATAACAATGGCAGAAGTAGAAAAAAATTAAGGAGAAAAAAAAAAGATTAAAAAAAATGATTAACGTTGATAATTATGATCTATTTGTCTCTTCCAAAAGTTTAAAGAATATTTCTCACTTCGTTTGATAAAAGAAGCTTTTTTTATCATTTCGATGAAAAATAACCAAATGAAGAAACATACTCGGTGAATATCTTTCGTTTTGTGGATGAAAAAGTATATATATATATATATATATATATATATATATAGAGAGAGAGAGAGAGAGAGAGAGAACTACGACGCAACAAAATCGTATAGAAAGAAGAAGAAAAGAGTCGCAGGCGCCTCCGGTTAACTAACTTTCAAATAATGGACGCGCGTTCCACTGAGAGAGAGAGAGAGAGAGAGAGAGAGAGAGAGAGAGAGAGAGAGAGAGAGACAGTCTATAAATAGAAAATATACTGCAACTTCCGTACAACGAACTCAAAACCATAATTTTGCTTCCTCGTTAATGATGCTTTGTATAAACTTACGAAATACAGCTATTTTACGTAGATACATTTTACACTACTGTTGGTACGTATTATATGCAGGAAAAAATGACGGCTAAAGTATAATTTTTCTATTTCTTAATTTCATTTTTCTTTTTTTTTTTTTTTCTTCTTCTTTTCTTTTCCTTATCATTAATGGGATTTTATTCAACACTTCTCATAGTTATATTTTATATCGTCGGAACGTATTGTATGCACGAGAAGAAAATGACGCCTAAAAAGTTTAATATATAATTCGTCTATTTTTCAATTTATTTGCTTTTCTTTTGAATGTCAGTTTTAATATAATACTTTTGTTCAGTTACATTTTACGCCATTCGGATTTATTGAATGCATCAGGAAAAAAAAAAGTGACGTCTAAAATGTAATATAATTTTTTGTATTTTCCGATTTAGTTTTTTGTTTTCTTTTGAATTTTGTTTTAGACAGTAATTTTCGTAATTACATTTAACATCGTCGGAACGTGACTAAATGCATGTGAGAAAAAAAAAGAGTATCTAAAGTATAATATAACTTTTATAATTTTCTCTGATGTTTTTCTATTTTCTTTTACATTTCATTTTACAGAATACTTTGCGTAGTTACATTTTAATTATATTTTAGTTACATTTTATACCGTCGGGACGGTAAGATTGATGGCAAAAAAAGAAAAAAAAAAGAAATGGCGTCTAAAATACTATGTAACGTTTGTATATTTGATTTATTTTGTTTCCTTTTGCATTGCACGGAGTACTTTGCTTAATCAAATTTAACACCATCGGGACGTATTTAAAATTGTACGATAAAATTGTACCTAAAATATTTCTATTTATCAGTAGTTTTTTCCTTCACATTTTCATTTTACACAGCACTTGACGTAATTTACATTTTACACCGTAATCGGAACGTATTGGACGATTGAGAAAATGGTGCCTATAAAATAAAATATAATTTCTATATTTCTTAATTTTCTTCTTCTTTTTTTTTTCTTTTTCTCTTTTTATTACATTTTACAGAAACGTGAAGAAAATATATCGTGAAAATACTACGCTGATTTCAATATTTTCTCCTCACTAGCGTTAAAAATGTTGGATAATTGATTTATTTCTTTCTCTGGCGGGAGGGAGGGGGGCGGAGGATTAGGGTGGAAGGGAGGGTAAAAATAAAAATAAAAAAAAAAGAAAAAAAAAGACAAAAAAGAAAAATAAAAAAAGAACTTTTCCTCGTTAACGATCTTCTTTTGAACGTTTTTCTAGGAAACAAGGGGGAAAGAAAAAAGATGAAATAGAATTCCTTTCGTAATTATTCGGTAGACGGTTCGAGCGCTTGGCACGGTATCAGAAACAGACAGAGAGAAAAAGGGAGAGAGAAAGAGAGAAAGAGAGAGAGAAAGAGAGAGAAGCGTTCTCCAGCTGCACCAGATTTCTCTCCAATAATCGTTTATTCGAAAGATCAACATCTGTCATTTGGTATTTGCCGCTTCATCGCGACGGTTCTCAGGTACTTTAGATTACATAAGAATATTTTTGAAAATGAAAAAGTAGTGCCAGAGGATGTAAGATAAATATTTCTCAATCTATTTTATTTCTCTGAGATTTGCCTAATTTTTTGATTCGATTAAAAAAAAGAAAGAACTAAATCAATTTCGTTGCATATAAGTCATAAGGATTTTATAAACATTTGTGAAAAAAAAATAATGTACTTAAAATCGATAAAATTGATGAAGATCAGATATTGCTTTCTCTGACATATATATACATATATATAGTCCTCATTAGTTATTAGATTTTTCGTACATTGAAGAGCAGGTGTATGGTTCGAGGAAAAGCATATTGCGGTTGCCAGGAAAGGAAGGAGGAGGGTCGTAGAATTGGCGCCCACTGACCCGTTGGAGGGTCAGCAATTTACTCAGGGCCGTATAATATTTTGGTATCGCATGTACCCATAAAAGAACATGATATATCTATATAATATCTAGAAAAGATAGGTCGAAAGTTTGTTTATTTTTAACTTTTCCTGAATTTCACTGCGTAATACCGGAAACGATAATGTCAAAGATAGAAAGAAGGTGTGAATTTTTTAAAGAAACGATATTGATCGGTACGTACTATTTTATTTTATCTTTTGTATTATATGTATATATATATATGTGTGTGTGTGTGTGTGTATGTATGCATATATTTATATATGCTTGACAGCTTAATATCTGTAACAGAAACGTGTAAAATCTATCTAAAGAGACTGTACTTTATCGGAGCAATAACGGATTGCGAGATATACATATATGTATATATGTATGAGACGTATTTGTCTATACGATAATACTTCTGGGATTTCAACGGCGCGAGCAACGATGTAATTTAAAATCTTCCTGAAGTCTTTTAAAGATATTCCTTCAGTCGCAATAAACACAAAGTGTAGGTATCGTATAATATTACAATATGTTTGTGAGATCTCGACGTAAAGCGTTTATCACCCGTCTCATTTAAACTATTTTTAAAGAGACCATACTAATGTCTCTCTTATGCATGTATGTATATGCTTCTGTATTCGTCCAAGCAACATTTTGTTTCAATATTTCTTTCTTTCTTTTTATCTTTTCTTTTGTTTGCAAGCACTCCAAACAGTTATTATTAATCATGGATAAGGAAGTCAACATGAAAAAAAATTCATTTTCGACTTTAATTTTTTTCAACGATTTGTTAAATATTAAACGAAAAATAGTTAAAATAGCGGGCGAAAGGAAAAAATTTGCATAACCGCATTAAATGCGCGTGGCGCATCTACAAGTAGGCGGCGCCCTTAAGGACCTTCTTTTATAGGTTAAAAGGGCAAGACTATAGGGGTTGAGCAAATCGAGAGCAAGACAAATCTGGTGTAACATTTTAGTCGTGCTATATATATACATACACACATATATATGTATACGTATATACATGTAATACATACATATATATATATAGAATTATTTGGAAAGTCCCTAGTTACAAAGAACATGATATTTTTATATCTTTCAGAATTTCATCGTTTCATTTTTAATATCGAATTTTTATTACGAATTTTTCGAACACCCTACTACTGTAGCGAACGACGAAACGCCAGACATAAAGAGCTGAGAAATACAAAAGAATATCCGAATTCATATATATATATATGACATACATATATATATATATATATATATATATATATATATATATATACATGCATATATACTATGTATATACATGTGATCTATTTCTTTTTTCATATGCGTCATGCACGCTGGATGCTTTCGCCAAACGGCAAAGACTCGTCTCGCTATGTTACTAACACTTTTGTCCACGTAAATTCGTGCACATTTCTATATATGTATATATATATATATATATATATATATGTAAGTCGCATATAGGGCTATGTCTGCAGGGGTGCGGAAAGAGCTCGGAGGAGACGACAAGGGGTTGCTGTCTCCTCCTGCGCACTCACACGATAACCCTGCGTGAACGAGCCTCTGCACGTACACAACCTTGTCCTTCGCATAGGCGCGGCTCTTT